CCCCTCTCCACATAGCTTCATATGCCCCAAATTTCCCCTCCCCAGCATCCAAATGTGGTGATTTCTCAATTTTTTATTAAGTCAAATCCGGAGGTGGGTTCGTATCATTATATGAACATGATTAGTTCTTTTCTAAAAGCTGGCATTGTGTGGTTGTACCTTCATTTACTAAATCATTCTCCTATGGATTCACATTTTGGTTTGCCCCCAACCTTTTGCTACCATAACAAATATCCGATATGTACAGCTTTGAGCACACGTGGGAGTGCTTTTCCTAGAAGTGAAATTGCTTCGACAGATAGACATGGTCAAGTTGCTCTCTACGGAGGGTGTGTGAATTAATAATTCCTACAAGGTTTGACGGCCTCTTCCTCCCTACACCTTGATCAACACAGTGTATTAATTAGCAAACTTTTGGATCTTTTCCAATCACATAGGTGATTATTTTCTATTTTAAGTCTTTGATGAAGATTATTATGCTGGCCATGTGTTTCTCTGGGTCACATTGCATGGACAGGGATAATGAAACTTTAGGTAATCAGGCTATCACGTTTGCAATAAAAAGGAGCTGAGAATTTGAAAAGAAAAAAAAAAACATCTAAGGGACACTGAGGTAGAAGGGAAAGAAAGGGAAGAGAGAAGCTGTACGCAGAAAAAAATCCCTTGGAAAGAAGCTTGTCTTCCAGGATAAAGTTTCCAATGCTGAAATGATAACCTATAAATGGAAAGACTGAACTGGAAAGAAAGCTAAACCAGAACTAAGGATGTAAATGCAGAGTGTCTGGAAGCTTCTGAGTGGAAAGGATACTTTAAAGAGAGAGGGACCAGAAAGAAACTCTAGTTCTTAGGCTCAAGAGACACCAACCTTCCAGGAATAAAAGGGGGCGGTGAGCCAGCAAAGGCCCCAGAGGGGAAAAGGGTGAGGGTGTGGGGTGAGTGGAACCAGGAAAGCTTTGCATCCTGGCTCCTGAGGAGGGACAGGGAGGTGCTAGTCAGTGGTATCAGTGATGAAGCAGAGGGTTTGAAGCTCACAGGCAGACCCTGACGTGACCAGGAGGTGTTCAGTAGAAACCTTGGAATGGTCACAGAAGAACGAGTATGCCCAGGAGTTCTCTGGCTTTCACCATTTTTAAGTCTTCATTTCGAACTACTGAAAACAGTGAGCTAAACTCTGTGTACCATATACTATATAGTACTATAAAGTCCTATGTAGAGTTCAGGGTCACCTCGCTCAAAGATAAGGGACTTAAAGTCTTCTTAATGAGGAGACATTAAGTTAATAAAATCTACCTCATACCCTTGTCACAAGGATTGAAGGAGATAACGAGTGAAATATGTCCGGCCCGTGACTGTGCTCAGTGGATGTCGAATACCCTCAGCTCACACACTCTGCAGGTGTGATTATCCCTGTCGTTCTGATGAGGAAACTGAGGCTCTGAGAAGTCACACGCCTTTCCTCAAGTCGGAGAGTAAAAAAGCAGCAGCAGCCACAGCCGCCCTTTTAGAGAACTGAGTCTTTCCCAGGCGATATTTGAAGTCGTCTATTGTGATGTATCATTTAACCTTCACAGCTAGGATGTGGCAGCCAAGTAGAGAAAACAAACAAATGAATATTAGATCCTCGTGCCACGTGACTATGGACGTTAAGTATTCTAAAAGAGTATTGTGCAACATTAAAACTGAGGGTCCATCGTACATGGGGGAATGACGTCAACCTTGTGGAATCACGTGGAGGGGTCCGAGGGATGCCCTTCGCTTCCCATCAGTGCCCAGCGAGTGGGAGCTGTAGCTATGCCTCTGTCCTTCGCCTGATCCGCTCGACACCCTCGTAAGGTGGGTGTGCAGGGCAGGGTTCAGAGGGTGATATGTCCTAGTCATGACAAATGAGCAAAGCTGGGATTTGAACCCAGATCTTTGGAAGCCAGATCCAGGCTTTGCTCAGCCACACCTTGCTACCCTCTTCACAGATAGGCCCGAGGCCGCTCCTACCCCTCTGATTTAATGAAGGCAACTCTGACCCGGATTCAAACTTCGTGATCAGCCCTCTTTCTCTGACTCTGTTTGCAGCCTCCTTTGCTAAAGAGACACCACCTGGGGTGTGAGTGCATCTACTTGTACCAGATCCCAGCATCTGGAGGTCAATGCTACTTAAATCGCCAGCTGGGGCACATTTTGACTTTGCATCAACCCTTAAGAAGAGAGGATTGTTGGTCACCTGACAAGTGGCAAATCCAGGGGCCATGACTTGATCTTGAGAAGGCTCCTCCTCCTTGAAAACCCAGTGCTTGCTGCCTGGCCCTCGCTCTCTCCATGAAAGCCTTTGTGGTAAAGCCTTTGTGGGCTTTATGAACTTGAGCCAAGCTTGGACTTTGAAATATTGTCTGTGTCTTCTCTCCCCAGTCTTCCCGCACCTGGTGAAGGAGCTCAACACGGGCCTCCACGTAACGATTCTGCTGCTCCTCCTCCTGGCCTTGGCCCTGGCTCTGGTCAGCATGGGCTTTGCCATACTCAACATGATCCAGGTTCCCTACAAGGCAGTCAACGGCCCCGGGGGCATCTGCCTATGGAACGTCCTGGCAGGTAAGGAAGCCCCAGGCAGAGAACTTTGTGTCCTCGCTATCACCAGGCTGAGTTCCAAGAAACTGGGTGAAAGATGTGAGGGAATTAACACTTCCGCCTCAGCCTTCACTTCCCTGAGTCTGTAACCTGCCCAATGGGCACAAATGTCCTCCTTACGAAGTTACGGAATCTCTCTGTCGCAGTAAACAAACAAATCGTTAGCATGCGTGATTGGCCGAGGACGTATAGCAGCAAACAGAGGTCAAGGTGAGGGAAGAGAGAAGACAGAGAACTCGGCGGGGAAGAGAAGGGACCTGGGGGTTTTACCTGCCGATTTTGTTTAAAGCTCGCAGCCTCCCCATGAGGCGGTATTATTAGACCCATATTGACAGATGAAGAGCCTAAAGCTCAGAGAAGTAACAAGGTACACCCAAGGTGACACAGCTGTGAGTAGCAGAGGTGGGGTTCCAACCAGGTACAATTGAGTCTAAGCCCTTCGCCTTTTCATTAATCCGTGGTCTCATTTATAACTATCACGACCTATTTTCCGAGCCAAACATCAAGACAAAATGTGTATGTGTTAGGTATATAGATACATAAAAAATAATTCGCATTTAATTTCGAACTATAAAAATCATTTTTAATGACAATAACAAAATCCGAAGAAATGAGGTCTGTTTCAAAAAACCCGGGCCCAATGGGCCAGGCATCATTATGGCAATAAACCTCACTATCTTTACCTTATACAGAGTGACCATAAAGTATAAAAGCGGGTAATGTTGTCTTATCATGTATTAGAATGTAATGTCAGTAAGTCGATTACTATGCATTTGCCTGTGTTTTCCGACTGTGTGCAGCCTGTGGAATTACTTATGCACATGGCCCACCTGCATCTGGACCGCAGGTGTCTGGTTGACCTCTGCACGAATCCTCGCAGTGCTGGCACGGACAACGTGCTCGGTCCTGCTTATTAAGTAAACGCTTACCGCTCTCAAGTCCCTTCCTCAGACAGACAGCACTCTCGAGTTCTACTGACTAGTGTTTTAAAAACGCAATTTCGCAAAGCTTTAGTGTCAAAAGGCATAAAAATACGAATGTCCTTCGATTCAATAATTCCAATAGGGATTTATGCTAAGGAAATAACAGGAAAAGAGCACAAATATGTACACGAAAAAAGGTTCACTGGAGCACTTTATAATATCAAAAGTTAGAAGCAATTTAGGTATCCAAAAATAAAATCACACTTAAACTTAATTAAATTAGGTATGTCGCTGGGATAAAACACTATGCACTAGTTTAAAGTGGTGCCGTAACAGAATATTTACCGTGGAAAAATGTTCACATAAGAGAAAAAAATCAAGTGTAAAATGGTAAGAGCACCACAATACTAATTTTGCTCAAGAGAAAACAATGTCAAGAAATACACTAAAATGTTTAAAGTGTTTATACCTGGATTTGGGGATAAAAGCAAATTTGTAATCTGGTGTCCAAATTTTTTTCCAATGAAGACGTAATAATCTAAACAAAAAAGTATAATAAATGTGTTTTTCAAAATATTAATTAAAATCAAAGCAGTAGAAAAGGAGAGAGACAGACAGCCAGCCTGAGAGAGAGGGAGAGAGGAGAAAGAAAGAGAAGAAACAGAGAAAGAGAGAGAATTTGAAGCGACGGGTAAGGAAGCACGGGAAATTTGGAACCCTTCCAGTTTTCCCCTCTCTACTTTCCTTTCCTCCTTCTTTTATTTCTTCTTAATCTACAGCATGGAAAGAGGATAATCAAAAAGGCGAGAAGAGTCTGCCCTCTGTCGAAACCCCAAGCTGTGCAGTAAGGTAATCTTATGACTGCTCACACCGCCCTCGGGGTCTCTATCCAAATCCGAAAATATTTAGAGATTGAACTTATCCAAATGCAGATACCCTAGAAAGGATGGCGCTGGGCAAGGGAAAAAAAAAAAAAAAAAAAGAGGGCTCAGGATTCCTAGCTCGTCTGACGCGAGGCTTATCCTTTCTTTCTTTACTCCTCTGGCCTCTCATGCTGTCGGTTATCTGCAGCTTTCAAAAGTAAATTAAAATTCGCATCATCCCAAGAATTTTTTTTTAAACTCAAAGTGAGTTTGTTGTCTGTGCCACAGCAATGCCACTCACACCAAGTCATTATGACTGCAAAAAAAAAAAAAAAAAGAGCCGTGAATGAGGGTGACCTTTCTGGGTTCCAGGTGGAGTCGTGGCGTTGGCCATCTCCAGCTTCACGGCCGCGGTGAAATTTCACGACCTGACAGAACGAATCGCCAACTTTCAGGAGAAGCTCTTTCACTTTGTCATCGTGGAAGAACAGTACGAAGAGTCATTTTGGATCTGCGTGGCCAGCGCCTCGGCCCACGCGGCAAACTTGATTGTGGTGGCCATTAGTCAAATTCCCCTCCCAGAGATTAAGACCAAAATAGAAGAGGCCACGGTCACGGCCGAGGATATCTTGTACTGATAGGCTTCTCCTCCCATAACTTTTGCTAAATCAGTTCTGCATTGTGAATGGAAACCTCGTCTGTCCTGCAGGCTTCACAGCCCAGAACGTCCGTGTGATTGGTAATGAGAAAGGACGGAAAGAGGGAGAGGTGGTGCCTGAGCCCGAAAGGAAAAACTTTCCTGAATTCCTGGCATCTCTGCCCTTCTCTCTCACTGACCCTGGACTTAAAGGTGGAGGTGGAGACTCCGCACTTGCCAGCTGTGGGTGATATTGGACAATTCACTTACTGTCTACTTCTCGGTTTCCTCATCTGTGAAATGAGGATAAGAATGACCTCAAAGATTGCAATGAGGTTTCAGTGAGCAGTAATGCTGCTAGCCTTTGGATATTGTAGAGCACCCCATAAATAGAAGGTACTGAACAATCCAATAAATGTCTACAGACCCCTGGTCTGATCCACACAATATTAGGGGGGACACCTTGATGTCCCTGCCCTCCAGGAACACCGAATCTTTCCACATGACACAGTAACTAAGAATGAGAGAAACAGTAACTCAGAATGAGAATAACTACCTTTTTTTAGTGGTTCTACATACTGGACACTGCGCTAAGAGTTTTACATATATTGAGTCCTCACTACAACTACAGATTGTCAGGACGACTTCATTTCCATTTTATAGGTGAAGAAACCAAGGCACAGAGATGTTGGGCAACTTGCTGAGGTCAGGAATTAAGTGCAAGTCTGGAGCCAGAGTTTCTATTTGTAACCACGATGCTAATCTGTTGTTTGATGCGCAAGCAATTGCAAGACAGTGTGATCAATGCTGTAACAGTACAGACATACAGGAATTAATTTGAAGCGACAGGTAGGAAGGAATTAATTCATCAGAATGGGATGTGGAATTAAAGAAAGTGTCACAGAGGTGACATCTGATCCGAACTCTGAAAGACGAGTCGATTTTTTCCAGTGGTGAAGGAAGCAGGGTTGGAAGGGCGTCCCAGGAGAAGTCAGTGATGAGGGGAGGCTCAAGGCTGAAATTAGAAGGAGGGTTCGGAATAACCAGCGAGATTAGAATGTTGCTCTACTTCACTGACTGTGTAAACCCAGCGGCTTTTGTGTTGGGTTTTCGTAAGTGGTATTGTAACGGTTAATTTTATGTGTAGACTTGGCTAGGCCACGGTACCCAGATATTTGATCAAATACTATTCTCAAGTTTTTGTGAAGGTATTTTTTGGATGGGAAATTAGTAGACTTTGCATAAAGCAGATTGCTCCCCATAAGGTGGGTAGGTCTCATCCAGTCCATGGAAACCCTTAAGAAAAAGACTATTCATTCCCAAGGGAGGGAGAATCTGCCAACAAACAGCCATTAGACTTAAACTAACAATCTTGCTGGATCTCCTGACTGCCAACATACCCTGCAAATTTTGGACTTGCCAGTCTCCACAATTATATAAGCCAATTTCTTAAAATCAACCGATCAATCTCTCTCTCCACACACACACACACACACACACACACACACACACACACACACACATTCAGTAGGTTCTCTTCCCGGAGAACCTCATTCTTACAGATACACAACCCTTTTAATTCATTTTTCCATCATGCCAGCTGGGGTGAATTCTTTCCACTGTCTCCTGTCTTCATGCCAAGTAAAAGTTATCTAATCTCCCACATTAGCCCCATCTTAAATGACACCTGATTTGGACTTGCTCTACCTTTGTTTAATGCCGAGCTTCAGGAAGTTTCCATGGTATCGTTTCTGTTCCAATTGCTTATGATTCCCTGCTGGGCTCATTTGTCCTTTACAGGATTCTATCCCCATCCCAGATACAGCTGCGGTACTAGTTAGTGGACTGATGTCACTCATCAAATATGCATATGGCACATGGCTAGAAGGGATAGGTAACTCGATAGGAGATGGATCCAAAAGACAGTGACATACTGCAATGCTGCCTCAAAAACAAGTGGGGAGGTCAGTGTCCTACTGAGCTTAGCATGAAGTCCTGTGACGGTTAAAAACGATCAATACCATAAATACAGGGAAGACTCAGGCAACGTCTGAAGAACTTGGTACATCTATTCATTCAACAAGAATTAAAACTGATCTAGGTGCTGGGAGTAGAGCGATGAACAAACAGACAAAAACCTCTGCCCTCCAGAGATGTTGTTCTCGCAGCTAGGGGGGATGCATACCGAGAGAGCGTTGATGGAGCTGCCATAGACGTGAGCCCAGCTGTAACCTTCCACTTTACCATGGCCTTCAGGTATGTGCAGACTGTCATGTAGGAACAGAGTGAATGTGGCGTCGCTTCAATTATTAGAATTACCTTTTCGAAAAGGTAACCTTGATCAAGATGGGTGCATTTTTCTGGTGACAGAATCCAAAGTTTTAGAAAGAGCTTCAGAAGTATCCGTAACACCTTACAAGTTTCAAACCATGACCCGTCAGGTATGGCTGTAACGTTGCTGGTAAAGAATCAGGTTCCATCTGAAATACATCTCCCAAGGATACTGTGGAAGAGATTTCTACGTGGAATTTAACAAGTTTTGTTGGAAGTAAGGGGAGGAGTGAGAAGAAAGGAGAGTAAATATCTGGGTCACTGAATTCACTCGCATGGTCACTAAAATGTGTAGAGAAAATGTAGCTCCTTTATTTTGACTACAGTTAATCTGGTTATTTAATAAGTAAACAAAAAATAATAAATGCCCATTCCAGTTTAAATTTAACCTGACCGGATCTTTTATGCCATCCCTCCAGGTAATGTTAAACCTCTCTGGGATAAAATGGCTATTTCATCACATACCTTCTTTGTCTCTGCCTCTCTCCTGAAAGAGGTTTTGAGGTTACGGGAGAGGGAAGTGGACACATCCCCTCCCTCCCTCCTTCCCTCCCTCTCTCTCTCCCTCTTCAGGTTTCCAGGAAGTGTCCCCTGGCCTTTTGCTGGTTCTGGGAGGTGCACTGGCTGTGCTCACTGGGCTCCTGTCCCACTGGCTGCTGGTTGCCCTCCCAGTCTTCCCAGCACTGTCTGAGGCTGGAATAATTTATGAAATATTCTTCCCACTGGTCAAAGCCTGGTCACTGCCTGCAAGGCTTGTCCTCATCTTGGATCCTACTGGCTGCAGATCCCTGAGTGACCACCAAATCCTCGCTCCAGGTCACCCGTCTGCTGGTCCACACCCAGACTCTGCTGCAGAGTCGCCCACCTGCATCAGCAGCCTAGCAGCTTCACCTGGTGCTGACACAGCCCCCTGCATCAGGGAATTCTGGGTAACCTCTCCACTCCCTCTTACGAAGTAACTAAGGTGATTCACAGACTATTATTTCCCCCCAAAATTGCAGGCTTGAAATGTTCCCTGATGCTGATATGACAGTGAAAATACGAAATAAATTCCATTAAAAAATCGAATCTCTGATTTTCAAAATCACCAAAATGGGCTGTAAGTATGTAATTGGTATGAAAGTAAAATCTCACACTCAGAGCCCCCTGAAATGGTTATATTTTTCCCACACCGCTAAAAAAATTACCAAACTCTCTTCCTGCCCAATGCTTCAAGGCAGGCTCAACACCAGCGGTGGGCCAGCTAGGGATGTGTGCTAACAGGCCTTAGGTGAGGCCCAGCCCTTTCAAGGTCACCATTTCCTCCTCAACAGAACGAGAATGTTATACTGCGTGATGAAGCCCATTGATTAGTGTGGTCCAGGCACCTTATACATTTCCTTCCTAATTCTGACAACAGTTACTCAAGACACATATAACTGTCTTTATTTTATAAATGGGCAATTTTAGGTTCAGGGAGGGAGTTTCAGTAACTTGCTCAGTCCATATTATTAATAAATAATGGAGGAAAGATTCAACCCCTGTCTATGTAATGTCAAGGCCACCGTGACTGCCTGTCTTGAAAGACTTCCAAGGCTCCTTCCCACGGCTTCTGCAGATGGCTAGGGGGTTGTGTCTCACCCCAGGAGTAACCTGCTCAGATATAGCCCTGTTCCCCTGGCTTGTCATGGCCTCGACCCTCAGGGATGCTCCTACCCAGAGAGGGTGCATTTTCCTGATGCTTGCCAAGGTGTCTAATGGGCTCATGGTGCCCTATCCCAGTCCATGTAAAATCAAAATGTTGATCATAAAATTATTGTGTGACATTGGTTAGTGTAATAATCATTAATTTTCACATGTCCCTTCAACGTAACTATCATATACATTCATTGATAGATTATTAGTCATGCTAACTGCAGGAATCAAAACCAATGAAACTCAGCTGTAATTCAGAGAAGTAATTAGTTATTTGTGCAACAAAGTCCTACTTTATGTTCACTCTGTGAAATCTGAGTGATATATGATGTCTCAGTCCACTGGAGCTGCTACAACAAAGTGCCACAGACTGGGTGGGTGGCTTGAACAACAGAAATTATTTCTCACAGCTCTGGAGGCTAGAAGTCCAAGATCAAGGTGCCAGTAGATCCGGTGTCTCCTGAGGACCCACTTCCTGGCTTGCAGATGGCTGTCTTCTCATTGTATTATCAGACAGACGAGAGCAGAGAGAGGAGAGAGAGAGAGAGCGGGAGAGAGGGAGGGGGAGAGAGAGAGAGAAGAGAGAGAGGGGGGTACCCTAATCCCATTCATTCGGGTTCCATCCTCATTAGGAGGTTCCTTGCCTCCTAAATAGAGAGAGAGAGAGAGAGAGAGAGAGAGAGACCCTAATCCCATTCATTAGGGTTCCACCCTCATTAGGAGGTTCCTTGCCTCCTAAACGTCCCACCTCCTAAATGTACCACATTTGAGGGATAGGATTTCAACATCAAACTTTTGAGGCAACACAAAGGTTCAGTCTATAACACATTATTTTCATTAATAAAAATATACCACTAAAGTACAACTAAGCAAAGATTTTGTGATAGCGAGACCCTTCCCTGTTAAATCAGAGCAGTTATGTTACAAATACACTTCTTTTTCAAAAAAAATATGAAATGCTATGAAAATCGAATTAAACAATTCTTCAAACTTCCCAAAAGCAT